AGTTGCTCTCTTCTCTTTGTGCATTGTCAAGTTCATTGCTTAGTTGCTCTCTTCTCTTTGTGCATTGTCAAGTTCATTGCTTAGTTGCACTCTTCTCCTTGTGCATTGTCAAGTCCATGTTCCGGATCCTTGCTTAGTTGCTCTCTTCTCTTTATGCATTGTCAAGTTCGTGGCTTAGTTGATCTCTTCTCCTTGTGCATTGTCAAGTTCATGTTCCGGATCTTTGCTTAGTTGCTCTCTTCTGTTTGTGCATTATCAAGTTCGTTGCTTAGTTGATCTCTTTCCCTATGAGTATGTGTTTTTCATTGGTCTAAGCGGCTCGTTGCCATGTTATTCCATGAAATACCTATTCAAACTCTCACTATGGGACGGGTGATCGACCTTTGGTTGTTGGTACGGGGAACTGTTTTGATTAGTTCTTCTTTGTTGTCTCTCTCTCTCTCTCTCTCTCTCTCTCTCTTCCCCCCCTTCTCTCTCCCTTTTTTTCCCTCCTCCCTCCTCTAGACCCTCTTTCGCCCCCTTTTGCTACCTCGCCTTCCCTCTCCCTCTCTCCCGTTCCCTCACTTGGCATATGACTAACCCCTTCTCCCTTCACTTGGAAACATTGCCAGGGTACGGACGGTAAACGAAATCAGACTTCACTTGGTGGAGAAAGAGGGCAAGGGGAGGATAGCCGGTCCCTTGTACCACCAAGGAGGCAAAAGAGAGAGGACATTTGGGAAAGTGGGAGAAAGGCGGGATCCGGAAAGAAGCATAAGTTGAGAAAGAGGTCAGTTTGACTCAACCATTTCCCCGACTACATGACTATGAGAAGAGGATGGGCTGATTGAACAACAAAAAGGGAACAAAGCACAGCCAAAGAGCATGGAAAGGATAGGCATGTGGGAAGGGCTATGTGTTGATCCCCAACGGCGGACAATGTATGGATCTTCTTGCTTGTGTGGGATTGTGCAGGTGAGTAATGGCTAGAAATGCCTTGAGCGGGATAAGGGCGAGAGGAACTGGGCACCAAGAGGGAAAGGGAAGAGGGACAAAGGGGCTATGGGACCCTTGACATAGAGCCAACTCATGAAAATGACTTTTGCACTTGAGACTTGGAAGGGTGATTGAGAGTGCAATTGTACCAAGGAAAATGTGATGTTGTGTGTGCATGCATATGAGGACCCCGAAAAGACTAAGGGGCCTACTTCAATAAGGTGGGAAGCAAATTGTGAGATCAGATGGATGCGTAGAGGCGAGGGGGAGGACGGCCCAGCCGCACCCCGACGACGCCATACAGCCAAAATGCTTAGGGGAATGGCGCGTGGCCTAAGGATGACGCTTAGCCTACGCACAAGAGAAGAGAAACGCTCAAAGAACCCCTGGACTGCCTGCGTATTGGAAGGAGCAATTGCTTGAGAACACAATAAAGAATAAAAAAAAATCAGCATCGCGGAACGACCGGCGAGACTACCACCCGGCGTGAGGGCTGAGCTACATCCCCAATGTCAAAGCTCTCTCGCACGAGGGCCCACCCCCATCCATCTCAAAGCACTAGGTGGGGGTGACCTCGGGACGAACAGCCCGCGCCCGTAGCATGAGCGTGGGCGGGCCGGGCCAACTGGGACCCGCAGTGGGGTCAACTAAGGCTCGAAAGTCTACCAGGGTTTGGCCCTACACCGGCTCCCCGTACGGTACGGGGACCAGTCTCGTACCAGTTTTCTGCTGCTGTACTCGTACTCAGTGCGACTTGCTGTTTGGGCCTTCGAAACCAAGACTTCGACTTTGTGCCTCAGCCTCTGGTTTGCGTTCGGTCGAGTTCAGTCGCGTGAGTGAGTGAGTGTGTGTGTGCTCTCACTCTCTCTCTCCCTCTGCTCCCTCCTCGTCCTCTGCCTCTGCGCTCGTTACACTGGTATCGGAGCAGTTCGCTCCCCCATCGCCGCCGTGACCTTCGAC